AGTAAAAAGAATAGTTGTGAATTTAAGAATAAGGTTTTTTAAGATAGATTCAAGAAGATCAAAAGAAATAGTAGTACTCTTGTCAATATTGGGATTGCTGTTGTAGATAAGGTCAGTTAAGAATTCAGGACGTTGTTCAGCTATAATATAGATAATATAATAGAATAATGCTTTAAGTGCTGGTTATGTAGCAGTAGCTGGCTTAATTTCCTTGTCAGAATAGAAATCATAATGAAATTTTTTAAAGAAGATGAAAAGTTAAATAGAAAATGAGGTTTGCAGCTTTTTATTGGGTTGCATTTTTTCAGTAATAGGAAAATTTACAACCCAGTCATATGTAGGATTAGATTTTGGCTTGAGAATGCTAGAGTATGATTAAGAAGAAGGTTTTTAGGAATATTTTCAGATTAGTTAGTATTACTGGTCTTATTGAGATTTAGATTAGAAGTATTAAGAGTGTTAGTAATAGACAGTTAGTTAAAGTTAATGTTAGTGTTAGTAGTTGTAGAAAAGAAAGAATCGATAAGATCAGATGAAGTTGAGGTTTGGTGAGAAGAAGCAGTAAGAGAATTGGTAGTTTGAGAGAATTCATGTAAGATGTTTTAGAAGATTTGTGTAAGATTTTTCTTGGTTTTGATGAATTAGCTTAATGTTAAGGTGGAGTAGTCATACAAGTAAGATTATAGATTTCATTATTTTTAAAGATGTATTTTTTAGTAAGGTAATGGTGCTTATTTCTTTTGGTACAACCAATTGGAAGAGAGTATTTAGGGCAAGTATGGTAATGTACATCAGATGTAGAAGATGAAGGAATACTGTCGATAGAAGAAGAGAGATTAGTCATAAGTTCTTAACTTGTTTTGTTATTTTTTTTAGAATTGCTATTAATATAAGCAGTTGTAAATTCAGTAGCTTAAATATAATTGGTATTTGAGCTTAAGATGAATTTGGTATAGTATTTGTTACAGAGCCAAGTAATTACAAAAGTATAGGTAGAAGCTTTAAAGAAATGAGTAATTTTATTTGATCAAAAATTTTTTGTTAAGCAGAAAGTAGGTTGAACTTTGAGAGGAATTGGGCAAGCCTTGTAAATGTTGTCCTCTTTATAGAGGGCAATTCCAAAACTGTTAGAAAAATTTTGGTAGAAATAATCAAGATCTGCTATGCCTGGTTCTTGTTGACTTAAAGTAGGCATTGTTAAAAGATAATAAGCTAAGTAAAAGTTGTAGACTTAGGTGTGTTTTCTAAAGAGAGAATATAGTTGTAAATAATTAAATTTACAAGGATTATAAATAGATACAAGAGTTGTAGTTTTAGGAGTGTCACAAGAATAATACAAAAGTGTAACAAAGGTGGATAGAGTTACTAATGTAATTTGGATACTGAACACAAGTAGGATTTGCAGTACAAATTACTGTATAATATTAATAAAAACTAAATATAGAATAACTTGATTATATGAATAGGTTTCTATTAATAGGTTAGTTATAAAATGTTGGTGTAAATTAATAAGATATAGATTGGAAAATAATTATATGATTACACAAAACCATGTAAGGAGAAAAAAGAACAGAGTAGAGACAAAAGGTAAAAAAAAAAGTTTTATAAGAATGTAAATGTTGAATTTAGTTGTAGTTTGGTCTATATTAGGTCAAAAATCTTCGTTTAGAGCTTGTTTTAACTAGGTAAATATATATTACAACTTTACTTAAGAGTATAGAACAGATTAAGGCAATAAAAACTGCAAAATGGTTAAAAATTGTTAACTGGAGGCCAAAGGTTGTCAGTACAGTTTTCTCAATTAATATAAGATATAAAAACTTGATATTTACAGAATATATGTAAAATGTTGAGCTGAACAAGTTTATTTAGAAGCCTAAGACAGATTGTTTTATAAAATAAATAGTTATAAGTGTTTTTTGATGAATGAATTTTTAGTTAATTTTTGTGTAATGGATTTGCAGAAAGAGATTTTTAAACAATATTTTAAGTAATAAAATTTACTATATATATAAAGATTTTTTTAAAAAAACTAATTGATTTAATTTTACTAATCATATTAGAATGAGTATTTTCAAACATATCACTTTTTTTAAAGAAATCTTCATATAACTATTCTATCAGAAATTTGGCAAATTTGTATTTTATTTGTTTTTCAAGAATTCATTTTATTAAGTCTTTTGTAAAAGTTACAGAATTTACTAACTTCAATAAGCTTTGTTAAAGAAGATTATTGTTATAATATCAAACTTGTTCAATTTAATTACTACTTTTAAGATATGTATAATTAAATTTGTGCTAAACTGAAATTGATAATTTATATAAGCAATACTAAAGAAAAACTGAACTTCAGCTTTAAATTTATAACTACTAGACTCAATTCTTCAATTTTTTTAAAGAATTGAGTTTAGCAATTATAAGTTTAAAAGCCAATGTTCAGTTTTTCTTTGGCATTACTTATGTATAGTTGAATTAAAAAGAAATAATATTCTAATTGCAACAATAATTTAATAAATATATTTCTAATATACTTCAAATTTTTACAATGAAATTTGTTAAAATTATGATTTTTTTATAAGTATACAAATATTTAATCAGTAATAAAAAATATGAACAAAAAAAAAAGAACATTTTGATCTTTTATAATTTTTGATCCATTAATGCAATTAATATATTGCATTTATTAGGATATTGTATATATCTGAACTAAAGTTATAGATTGTATTTTAAAAGTATAGCATTTAATAAATATATAGATAGTTTATTTAATTCAACATGAATGTATAACATATATATTCTAACTTAGAACTTCTTGCATACTAAAATATTAACATTAATTTAGTAATATAAGTATATATACTATAATTTGAAACTTCATTATAGCAGAGTTCCAAACTAGTTGGAGGATATGAAATGTACTGAAACTATAACTTAGTTATGACAAAGTTCCAAACTAGATTTGCAATTTGGGATATAACATATGCTATAATTATAATATAACTAGTGTGATAGATAACACATTCACACCATCTATCTTATCTATTTGTTTTTCTATCTATATATATATATATACTATCTAAGAATGTAAAAAAAATTATTATATATATACATGTATACATCATTGGTAATATGGTTAAAGTGTGGTAATTTATATAATTGTTTTATTTGTCTCTTATTCTTGTGAATTATACTATGAAAAAAAATATATGAGTATGCTTTTTTTACTTTCAAGAACTTACACAGCCTTCTCGAAAAGCAGTCTGCTATTTGATTTTTTTTAGTCTTAATATTAGCAGTCATTCCAACTGGTCAAGTATTTACTATAATTGTTGTTTAAACAGTTCACAAATTAAAAGGTTTTCATTCAAAACTCATTCATCTTACCAATGCTTCCTAGCTGCTGTTCTGGCAGGCAGACTGTTACAACTTTATTATAACTTTATGAGTAAGATGAATGTGATTGAATTAACCAGAACAAAAGTCAGGTTGGCAGAAAAGACAAAGTTACTAACTTTTACTTTCTCCAAATATTACCTATAATTTTCTAATTTCTTCATACTTACTTCATTACTTCATACTTACTCAATTATCTTATTTTTACTTAATTTTTTCATATTTACTTAATTACCTCATTTTTACTACAACTTATGGATTAAAAGTCTAATTAATGAATGCATTATTAATTACCCAAATTATTACATACTTTTATTTGATTGATCAATATTCAATTAAACATGTGACTATAATGGGTATATCATATGCTCAATCGTTATGCATGATTTGAGACAAAACTTGTTTCGATACTTACATATTGAGTAGCTATTATATTTTCAATTTGTAATTATTGTATAATTGTTTATTCTGTGTAATTATCAATTTTGACATTTTGTATTATTGTATTTGAGTAATGAAAAAAGAAAACCTGTAAATCATTTTACTTATTATGTGAAATTATTTATAGGTTTTCCTTTTTTGTTACTTATTTCTATAATTATTATTACAATTTTTGTATGATAATTATGATTTGTTGATTAATGTATAACATCTTCGAATATATATCTACATATATATGTGTGTGAATATAAAAAAAAAATAGTAAATCAAAAGTTACATTAAGAAATCATAATGATAATCAATTCTTTTTTTATACTTTTAATGTTTTTTTATTATTATTTGTTATTAACATTTAAATAAACAAATCTTGAATTAGATAGTTTAGGTTTGAGTTAAATAGTTGAATTTTAAATTAGAATTTTGAATTAAATAGTTTAGATAAGGGTTATTCAAATAATAATATATTTTTTTTGTAATTTATATTTAGTAAAATGACATAGTTTTGATGTCAATTATTAATGTTAATTGGTAAATATGATGTATTGCAATCTATTATTTTTATGTTTTAGCTATTTTTGTTAATTATTTTTTTGATGATATAATTTTAATTTTAATTGTATGATATTTTTGTGTATATGTAATGGTTAGTAGTTTTATATAAAGGGTTTGTAATTCATTTATCAGTTGTAATTTATTTTTTAATTAAAGCATATATAAGCATATATATTGTTGATAATATTGGTAATATATTAGTAATATATTGTCTGTAATAGCATTATGCCATATTATGGGGATATGATTATAAAAGTAAAACTTGTACATCAAACAGTAAAGAAAAAAACAATTTTATTGTGTTATGGTCTATTGGTGCATATTCAGTGAAGTAAAAAGATAGTAATTTGAAAATGATTTTATTTATACTGATTGATTCTGATAAAAGAGATATTGAAACTCAAGCCATTTTTAAGAAAGATAGTTTTTATTCTGTTAGTAATAAAGTTATATCTAGGCATTATAAAAGTAATAAATAACCTAAGGTATTAGTTTATATTCATTATATTTTGTATAATGTTGCATCTATTTTGGGTTTACTCTTTTTTTTTTTAGATGATTGTATCAATTTCAACTGATATAGTGATTTTAAATAAAGTAGCTAAATCAAATAAATGCTCTTTGAAGGTTTTTTAGTTGAAGTTTCTCAGAAGTTATCATTAGTTTTAGAAAATAATGAGGATGCTGTTTTTAATGTATTAGTTACTAATTATGTTCTTGGTCAAGAGTGGAATTTTATAATTAAGGTTGGTTTTCTACATTTTAATTTATGATTTATGAATTTAAAAACTGTGGTTCATCTGCAAGAATCTTTCATTTTTGTTGTTGGGCAAATGAAAGTTGTTTATAATGATTTTTATGTTTATGCAAAAGATATTAATCTTATTGATATAAATCATCTAAGAAGAAAGTTTTTGATAATAGTTCTAATTTTTTGCCTGAAGGTGTTAATATAACTTGATCAAAACTTCTTTCTATGTATGAAAATATCAATAATAATTTAAAAAATGTTCATGATATTGAAGATTTATCATCAGTCTTGAATAATTATGTTAATGAATTCTATTCTGGTTTTTCTTAGACTGATAATGTCCCTTTTAAATGTATTAGAGTTGAATCTTGTGATGAATCTGTGAATAAAATTAAAAATATTGATAAATGTAATATCAAATTTGATAAGTCTAACAGTTCAGATGAAGCTGATCAAGATAATATGTTAAGTAATTTATTAAAAAAAAGTAATTTTCAAAAGAATAAGAAGGGTAAGGAGTCCACCAGTAGTTTTTTATATAATGCTTTAAGATCTTCTAAGTCAAGTATAAATTTTATTAATAGTGAACAGTAGTGAATATAGTAAGATGTATCTAGTAAGGGTTTTGTCAAATTAATTAAGTTGCATCTTGTAAGTGTTTTGTTAAATATTTTTTGATTTATATTTGATACATGTATATAATATGTGCATATAAAAATTGTTAAAAATAATTAGTTACTCTTTAATGAGTTTTTATTTGCATACAATATTTTAATTTTGTAATATGTTTTATATGTTTTATTGAATCATATTTATTGTTAATGTAGTTTAGTAAAATGCATGTTGTAGTTGTGCTTTTTTTTTAAAAAAAAAAAATTCTGTAATCAATAAATGTTGTTTTTGCTTTTGAGGTTATTAATTTATTAGTTTACTGCAAGTATATTTTAGTGTATTAAGTATTAGTTATGTGGTGTTACTATTTTTTTTTTATCATTAATGTGTAAAACGGTTAAGTAAGTTGCTTTAAGTTATTGTATTACTTCTGTTATATTGATCAATTTTGTAGGTTTATGATGTAAAGTTTATTATAGTTTATATATAATATTTGAGAATGTATAGTTGTATATTATAGTTTTATATTATAAAATGATTTAAATTTGTGTAAATATTAAGTCAAAGGTTTTTTTGTTTTTTCATCTTTTTAATAATAATAAAAGATATACTTTTAAAATTACTTATTACAATTTTCAAAGTTTTTATTAATATTTGAAAATTTTATATCATGCTAATAATTTTTAAGCCTATATAGTCTTAGTTTAACAATGAATCATGATGTTAATAATGATGAGTATAAGTATTAAAATTTGTATCATTTGTTTATTATTTATTGTTTATAGAATTTAGTTTTCTAATATTTCTTTGTAAACAACATTACAGATATAAGTACCTTGCATTCCTGAAATATTTTTATTTTTTATTAATATCTTGATATCATGTTGAGACTTTGCTTGTGAAAATGCAATATAAAGTTGGTCATGAGTAAATACATGTTCTGGAAGATAAAGGTCTATATGAAGTATTGTCTGACCTTGTGACTTATTGATCATCAATACAAATGCAGATCTAATTGGAAATTATTTTCTTTTCAATATAAAAAGAAGTTTAATGTTTTTAGAGGAATTAAAGATATTCAAGAGAGAAATACAATATTTTCTTTACAATTTCCTGTTGCTATCATGGCTTCAATCAAATTTGAGTGGAAGGTTTGACAAACTAATCTTGTTCTATTATATAAACTATTCATTGGATCCAAATTATGGAAACACATAATAGGTGAACCTACTTTTAAATGCAGTTTGTGAGAAGAAAGGCCATTTGGGGTTATGGAATTTAGAAATTTTTGCTAATAAAGTTCTCATATATCATTCAGAACAGAATCATAACTACAGAATGTTACAGCATCACCAGACATCTGATCTAAGATTATGTTATTAATGTGATCAATATACTCATTTTTGGTAATAAGAATTGCTTGATCTGTAAAGTAAGAATATTGTTTTGGTGGTTCTGAATAAACATATTTTATAAGTGATTGTAATGAATCTTTATTTTTCTAGAGAATAGTAATGTTATTTGAAATACAAATCATGTTATTATTAACTATAGGTGCAGTTCTATATTCGATATTTAGCAAATAATCTTTAAAATATTTGTTATTATAATCATTATTGACTTTTATATTTTTATAAAGTTTAAAAATCTTTATTTTAGACCATATAGAAGAACATTTTAATGAAGCATTTATCACTTGTACACAACTTCCATGCTAGACAACTGGTAATATTTAATGAAAATCTTCACTGAACATTATGATTTTTCTATCAAATAAAAGATTACACTTTATTAGATCTTTAAAAGTTCAATCTAAAGCTTCAACTGCATAATGATTTATTATAGAAATTTCATTCTATATGATTAATTTAGCCAAGCATATTAGTAAAGCTAATTGGCTCTGTTTACTAATAGTACATATTGAATTAGGTTGAAGAGATAAAGGTATGTTGAATCAGGAATAGGCTGTTTGCCCTCCAGGCATAATTAATATGGCAATCTCAGATGATGCTGTTGTAAGTGCTATATAAGAATTTGAATGAACTTTACAGAATAAACAATTATAAAGAAAAGTTTTTCAGATTCTGCAGGTCTATTAATAAAAAAAACATTTAGTTGATTTTTTTCAATATATTTATAACTTTTTCAAATATAATTCTTTGGTCCTCATTTAGCAGTTTAAATTATTTTTTTTTATTATTATTTAAGACTGATGTTATCGGTAGTTACTGCCTTTATTTGTATTTTTGGTCAATATATTATATGTGACTTGTACAATATAAGTATGCAACTAGCCACACATATAACTTTTAGTTACTTATTTAAGTAGTCTACTCAAGAGTTCTACACTAACTGCCATGTCTATAATCTACTAAGAGGGTACCTATTTAAACACTCTGATCCTTATACTACATTCAAACAAGTAACACCTGGTTCTCATACAACTAAGTGCTGTTTAACCCTATATTTAGTCATCCTCTTTTGTATGTCTGTCAAGTTGTTAAATATTCTAGAATACATCACCTAACTGTAAGATTCTGGGTTGCCCCCTTGTTAACTACCTACCCACTCTACAGAATATTAATAAGGCTAACTCTTATAGAGTTCACCCAAACCCCAACATCTACTTCACAGCATATCACTATTACTTATAGTATACACCTGCTTTGATCCCAGACTCCCAATTCTAATAGCCCAGTAGAACTGTAACCTGTCCTTAATATATCGAGCCAGCCTGATATTTTTTTTCTTCAGTTCAGTTCTGGCAGCCTGGTTGGTAATACTCCTCACCTAAGATTCTTGCCCATCTGGCTCCTCTATATTGGTATCTGTTTTCTAGGTCTAGCCTTTATAGTAGTACCATTAAAGATTTGTATTACCTCTCTACTTAGGTCTTTCCAAATAGGCTCTAGTTTCCCAGTTCTACAAATTTATATGGCTACAAGGACTTATCTTAGGTTTGCACTACCCAGTATCAGTTTGCATTCCTCAGTATAACCAAAATTACATAGATGTCCTGTAACTTGCCAGTTATGTTGATGCAACCATAGTTATAAATATCCAATTCCAACTGATCAACAGAATGCCATTGCTGTAATACCATCTATGTATTACATAGGTGATTATTCAAATTTTTGCTATCAGTGAGTTTTAAACTCACAACTTACCACTTGGGAGGTTGACAACTTATCCACTTCACTAAGTCACCACACCTCTGTTTAATTTTTTCTAAATCTATATTAGTAACTGGAATATTTAACTCTTCTAATATTATCTTAGAATATCACTTGTTAGTTTGTTCACAAAATAAATTTAGAAGAAAAAGGTCATATTTGTTTAAAGACTTGTTATATCATTTTAAAATTCTTTTAATTTAAGTAGAACAATATTGATAAAAAGTTGTCTTTATAGAATATTTTTTTTTATAAAATTATCAGACATCACATTAAAATTTTCATTTCATAGAGCTTGAACATTTCCCGATTCTCCAAAAATTAATATAATTGCAAATAAGTTTCTAGAAGCACATGGCATTTTAAATTGCTTGGCTTCTTGCATAGTATTTTGATATGGATTTTTACTTTCAATAATTCCACATAGTAAAATGCTTTCTTGAAATGTTGTATATAGATGATTTCCAACAATTTTAAGGTCAATAAAAGATGTAGTATCTTTTAATTAATTAAGGAGTAACCATAAGAAGTAATTTTCTCCTTTATTTGGATTAACAGTGTACATTCTTTCGATTATATTTTTTTGGTAATGCTTTGTCCATTTTTTATTAATTTTGTTTCAGATGTAATGTTGTGAAAACTCACAATACAAATAGTTTCTAGCATTTAAATCAACTTTATTTGTCTAAAAATATTCTGTTAACATTGTTTTTTTATTTTATTTATCATTAATTATATTATTAAGACTGGAAGTTTGTGAAAAAATTATAATGGAGATGTACTTGTAAATGAAGTACAGAAGAATTAATATGTAACATATTAAAACTAAAGATTTGCCAGCAAGATTCTGATGCAAAAATCTATTTGGCATCTAAGTATTGCCTAATTTCATCATCACGATTAGTTATACTCAGTGCAACCCAATCATGTTCTTTATACATGTATTTGTATAAATACTTATCGATTTTATGCTTGAACAAATTTAAACATTAATGTGACAATCTTACTTAAACGATAAATAAGGGTTATATAAAACTACTCAATGATTATCTAACTATGCATTCCTACAGAAAACTTGTCTCCTGTTATCACAATGACAATATACTGAATAAGAATCATTATCTTTTTTTATTTTTTGAACGAATTCTTTAAGATAATGTTTATTGCAAATACTATTTTTTATACAGAGTGCTTTAGAATTAAGGAGCCCACATAGACCATGCATCATGTGAGAAGTAATAGTTTGATACAACCTTGCTATATTTCTGGATCTGGAATTTCAGCTGAAATAATAGCATTGTATTTATCAGCTTCGTAAGATTTATTATTGAGATGAAGGATAACCAATAAATATGCATGAGAAAGCCTGTATTTATAAAACTTAATTACATAAATATATGCAATCACATAACCAAATATACTTTTTTCAAAAATATCTTCAGTTATTTTTTTTAACTTTGTGTGAAAAATTTGAACTTCAAAAAAAAAAAAAAAACAATTTTAGTTGATCAATATTTTTAATTTGATATAAAGTTTTGACAAATTAAATTGTATTAAGCATATTAATACCTGTAATGTCAGGCTGGTTTTGCGTAGTCTGTTCTAATAAAAATTCAAAAAAAAATTTTAACCACTTGAGATTGCAAGTAATTGTGATGAATAAATCTGATTTTCCAAAAGTTTGTACTAGTGTTATAGAATCTTGGTATCATTGATATATGTTACAAAGACTACCTATAAATGATAAAGGTAAAATAGTTTGTGTTCCTACTTCAGCAGTATTTGTTATTCCCAATAGATATGAATCTTGCAAATCTTGGTAAAGTTCTTTACAAGGTTTATTCTGATTAAATCTTAAATAATTAAGATGTTCCATTTCTATCTTGACATAGTTGTTAACAATATATTGCTAAGAAGATGCTTATTATAGTAAAACATTAATAAGAAGTTTCTGCAAATATGTAACTTGTAAGCATAATATTGCCTTGTAGTTACTTTTTTCTGTAATGTATTTTGTAATATCCTAGGATACCAACCATAATCACCTCTTAGAAAAAATAATGGATATTGCATTAGATCATATGAACCACTCATCTCAGAAATATATTGTAAACTTCATGATTTTGATTCAACAGTGAGATTTCATTCATAGGGCCTAAATGGCTATGCCCTTCTATCCATATAGCTGCAACCTGTGATGCAGTTGGTTTATTGTACATATACTGATCCAGGCCATGATCAGCTTTAATAAATAGATGAAGATTATCCATAGTATTTACAACAATTGAACAGAAGTTGGCAACAAAAGGATCAAATCTGTCCAACACTGTTTTAATTATTTCTAAGGTGTTCTTATATAGTTCAACCATAATTTCAAGTTAGTTATTAGTTTTATGTTCAGTATCATAAATATATAATTGTAAAAATTTCAGTTTTTCATCATTAGGATAAAGAGAACCTATAGTATGGTATATACTATCCTGTACCCGAAACATATATATACTATTTTTACTTAATGAAATATTAATTAATTAGCTAGTATATAAATCAGATTTCTCATTAAAAACAAACTATTTTTTACCATTGACCAGTTTTTTATCTAATTTAACTCCTATGGATGTGAAGGCAAAAACACTATTATAAGCACGAATATTATTGTGGAATTCATCCCCTACATCATCACATCTAGTATATAAATTCTTCAAAGATGCGAAAGATTCAGTCGAAGCTAATCTATTGCGGGAATTAATAATAACTCATTAAATCATATTAACTAATAAGTAATTGAAGTAATTGATTATTTACTTACTTAATCTTTCCTTTTATACAACATATGCTTTCTGTCTCATCAGAGAATAATTTAGCATTACAGTAAGAACAAATACATGGAACTTCAAGAACATGATGAACAGCTGTAACTGTTGCACTGAAACATAAAGCAATTTCGTATGTTTTTGGCAGTTTGTTTGCTAAAGTTTGTGTTCTTCGAGATCTCTGCTTTCAAGCAGCATAGGCTAATCTACTATTTTCAATAGTTTGTGAATGTAAATTACAAGGCGGCGGCATTTTATTTCAAATTACAGAAGATTATAGGTAATAATAAAAGTAATAAAGGTAAAATGTTTATAGGTTTTACAATTTGCGAAGTCACAAAGCTTGATAGATATACGATATAATAACTCCTTGCAACTTTTACATATCAGTGCCTTTTATATCATTTACAAATTTAATGATGTATCGATAATTATTCAAGATAACTGATTTTTGACTTTATTAATCTTAATATTCATATTATTAACTGTAAAGATTATGTCAATATCTATTTTTAAGATTATAACACATAAGCCCTTGAACTCTGTAATAAAGACATAACTTAAAATATTCAATAAATGCAACATAAAATATTCAATGTCTTGATTTCTCATTTAGGCCAATTAATATGTTTTATTTATTTATTTATTATTTTTTATACTCACATACATCTATATATATACGGATATATATTCGAAGACGTTATATCATTAATCAAGGAAATCGTAATTATCATAAAAACTGTAATAATAATTATAGAAATGCAATTATGCAGAATGTGTCGAAATTGACGATCACGCAGAATAAACAATTACGCAATGATTACAAATCTGAGATATAGCAATTACATAAATATAGCAATTACATAAATTACCACGAATGTCGTAATATAATCAAGTATATCTATACCATCTAATATAACTACTATACTTCAACTACCAAAATCTCACATTAACGATGACGTACACACGTACACATGTAAGAATTTTTCTTACAATTAAACCACATTTTTAGATTTTTAGTTTTTTAGATAGATGCGCCAACTTAAATTACATAACGAAACAACATTTTCCCACACTCGAATCATGCTTCTCATATACAACCAATCATAAACGTTTAAACGGACAAACTCTGAATTAGATGGTATAGATAGATTACGGCAAAGTCCCCAAAACTAATTTTGCCAATTTGGGATACGGCACGTGACGAAACTATTATATTTGAACAGGAGGAAACGTTGATGTTACACAATTGATTTTACACACGGTGTGAAACACATAAAAAAATTTTTTTACAATA